CAATTTATAAGAACCATTTAAATATTGAGAAAGCAAGAAAGCAGTCGCCGTAGCTAGCTTCTTAAATCGACTCTTCTTCTTTTTTTAATGGTTTTTTACAAAAACTCTTTATTTATAATAGCTTCTAAAGCTTCTCCAAGCTCATCACACGCTCTACATTATCTTGAATAAATTTTACTGTAAGCACAGAAAAATTGAATTTTTATATACAAAATATTTTTCTTAAAACAAGAATTACATTTCTTGTTTTAAGAAATAAGTTTCTTAGACTATGCTTAAGTTTCTTGTGAGTTCTGACAAGTTGTTAGCAACTTTACAAAAATTTAAAAGTTTTGGAATTCAATGTACCCAAAAAGTCTGAGGGAGTCTCATCCATAGACATTTTTTCAAACTATGACTTAGAATATCAAAAATTAACCAGTAGTCTGGTAAAATATACAACTCTAGACCTAGCGGTTGGTCTTTATTAACAAAAACTGCTTTCAAAAGGATTTCAGAAGGAATTGAACCTGGACTACAATGCTAACCACTCAGCCACGCAGGCATGTAAAATGTCAAAAATTTTTAAAATATATCACAAATAATAAATTTTATAAAGCGTAAATTAGTGCTAGAGATCAATTCTTAAGGATATCTTGCCGCAATGCAACTTTCAAGTGAAAGTAAAACTATAAAACTTAATATATAATTTTAATATTTAATAATTTGAGGTTTGCGTAAGTTAGATATTTGAATACACTTTTGTTGACTTTTCTTATAAAAAGAAGTGCTGCTACTCTTTCTCACTATTACCTTGGTTGCAATGGCTGTCAAGATAATTGTGTCAAACGGGCTAGTTTATAGGGGAAGTGTATGCATTTTTTTTTTTTAATTCAAGTTTGCCTTTATTTTGCTTTTTTTATTTGTTTTTCAATATTGTCTTCTTTTCAATATTGTTTTCTCTATCCTTCTGAACTTATGTCATTTAAATTTGTATTTTCTTATACACTTTTATCTCATTTATCTTATCCGTTCTTACTCATCTCACTGTTTCTCACTTATCTCATCCATTCATTATCTCTCTTTTTTTCATTTTTGTTAGTCATACTCCTTTAATATTTTTGCTCTGACTCCAGTTTTTTTTTTATATAACTGTTTTATACTACCTTTAGTTTTTTTTTATTACTTGTATTATTGTAGTTTATTCTCTTTATTACTTCCTTGTATTAATACTTTTTCATTTTATTAAGGAGTCACTTCCTTGACTAGTTTTAAATATGAGCGACACCAAACCTAATTTTGCAAATTATGATTAATTTTATTATTTTCAATTTTATGGTTAAATGGAAGAGAAAAAAAATTATAATAAAATAAAGGATTAGTTATTTCTCACACTTTAATTAACTTAATAAAAAATTTAAATTCCAGCCAGAAGCAAATTGATCTAAAAGACACAAATCCGGGCCAGAATTGTGGTACATCCCTAATTTATTTCTAATAGATTTATAAGGTCTTTCTGCCACAAAGCACCTGCTCCAATTATTTTTGCTAACTCTGGTTTTGATAACCATCAATACTTTGTAACTTTCTTTTTCTTTTATTATTTCCTCAATATTCACAATATCTGATTCAAATAAGTGTATAAAGGTTTACTGGTCATTTTCTTCATCTTGTGATGGAAAAGACAATCTCAATAATGAATCAGCATGAGGATATTTTTTTTTTTCCTTCTTATAGCTTATTTCGAAGTCAAATGTCATCATTTGTAGGACGCATCTTAAAATTCTAGCAGATATCGCTTTATTACAATCAAATATAAACTCTAATGGTCTGCCATCTGATTCAATTTAAATTTCCTACTCCAAAAAAAATGTCTAGCTCTGTGAGTTGATCATACAATAGCCAATGCTTCTCTCTTGATATTAGAATATCTTGTCTTGGCGCCTGATAAAGTTTGAGAAATATACAATACAGGATGACCATTTTCTGAAATAATTCCAGATATAGCTTTTTCACTGGCATCAGTTGTTAATTCTAAATCTTGGTCGATGTAATAAACTTTTACCACAGGTTCTTCACAAAGATTTTTTTTAACATCTCAAATGCAAGTTGATGCTCTTTCCTCCACTCGAATATATCATCTTGACATATATATCATCTTGAAATATAATCATATTAGGAATAATATCACCAATAACAGATTCTATTGCTCTTTGGAATATCACACTTGCAGTTTTTATTATAACTGCAGCCGTATTCTCACCTCTCCGTTAAGTTTAACAGAGCTTTTGTCTGAAATTTCATAACAATATTTCTGAGTAAAGAAATGACGATAACCTTACTAAATTTTTTAAAACAAAACTAATACTAAAACAAAACATTTATTTTTAAAAAATTATATTTTTAAAGAACTTTTTTATTAATGTAGTTGAAAAAAAGAAATTTTCTACTAACGCTCCGTTAAGCTTAACGGAGAGATGAGAAAACGGCTGCTGGTAAACATGTTTATCTTAACAACCCGATAGAATTGTTAACTGTTGTTATTTCTTGTGCCTCTTTTTCTAGCTTAATTTGATGATAAGCTCCCTTGAGATCAATTTTAGCAAAATATTTCATCCCTGTAATTTTATAAAATACAGTCTTATTTTTTGCTTAACACCTATTTTGTAATCTGCATGTATACGCCAATCTCCATCTGTTTTTCTAATTACCACAAGTGGTAATACCTATTTGCTCCCACCAGAGGAAATCTTTGAAGCAACCCTTGCTGTATTATAAATGTTATATCTGTCTATATCAGATGGAGATAACATTTTTGGAATTTAGGTTTGGACATAAGTTCCCAAAAATATTTAGGTATGATTGTGACCTGACTTCTAGTATCAACTTGCATTGTTATATTGTAATCATTCATTTTTACATAAATGTAGTGGTGTAGTGGTAGAGCGCTCGCTTCATAAACGAGTGGTTCGGAGTTCGATCCTCACCACGTCCCTGGTAGTACCGCGCTCAACTCGTTTCTCCGCGCAGCGGCCTTGTTCATCAAGGTTCGTGTTTCGGAGTTATAGAGTTGAGAGAGGGTTATAGCCACAAATAAGTAGCCTCCTCGTCTGTAGTGGCCTTCTCGGCCTTGAGGAAGTGAATTATAATAAAAAAAAAAAAAAAAAAATCTCTGACTTTGCACCATTCATATTAATGGAATATACACAAGCATCACTGTTCTCTATTTCTTCTATTTTTCTTTCATACTTAATATTTGCTTTGCATATGTTTTTAAATTTCAATTTTCTTTATTTTTTATAACTTTTTCCAAACGCTGGGCACTTTCTAGGTAGGTGTTGAAGGCCACAATGTTTGCATTTAATTGTTTTATTATTTATTTTTATCGATATAATTGTCTAGGTTGGTCTAAGTTGTATTTAATGTCGCTTTGTAAACTGTTCAAGTTATCTGATAAAATCAACACATAATTCTAGTTTAGGTGGCTTTCCATTCTGTAGCATTTCTAGAGCTTTAATTCTCTGATCAGAAGACTGGAGGCCATCATTAAATCTCATTTAAATTAATTCATCTTCTGAACTTTGGCCATCTTTATCTAATTTTTCAAAGTTGCAAAAATGTGAAGCTTCCCGTAATTTTTGTGTATATGATACAACGTTTTCATTTCTTTGTTGTTTTAATCCTAAAACTAAAACTCTTTCTGCAAAGATTAGTCATTTATGAGGTCTTAAATGGGACATAACAACAGTTTTAATATCATCAAACAACATTTTCTAATTCTTCTGGATATGCCATAAGGAAAATCCATTTTACTGCTTCAATGCCTGCTTTTGCCAGAAATAAATCTGTTATCTCATAGTTTCATCATTTCATCATTCATTACCATCTCATCATTTAATTTCTTTGATAGTGTGGAAGCTGAACAGAATCTAATCCATGTTTCTGCATTGTCTGGATCATTTAAAGTCAAATCAGATCCTACTCACAGCACCATTGTTGTATCATTAATAAAACATAACTAATATAAAAATAATAATATATATATAATCTTTTATATGTAAGCTATCTTTATACATTTATTATATATAATTGTTACGTATATATATAAACACTGTTACTGTTCATTTGCAAATAACAAAACTTTACGGTTCACATAATAAAAAACAAACTAATTATAATTAAATATTATCTTTAATTTATATTATGATTTTATTTTGTTTTTATTTTATTGTAATGAATGATTTTTTCCCTTAAACAATGTTAATACTTTAAGCTTGAAGCAAAGATCATAATAATATAATTTAATTCTGATAAAAAAATATATAATAAAATTGAATTTTAGTGAACTTTAGTTTTAGGACCTTTTTTTTTAAGGAAGCAGTCTAGTTTTTAAGTATTCACCCATCCCCCTCATTTTATTCCTAGAATCACCTCTGGCTATACCACAATAAAATCACTAAAGTTATTGATATTGCAGATGTATATAATATTTTAAGTGCAGTTTGCAGAAAATTATCAATCTATATTGCTTTTAATTAATAAAAAAATACCAGTATGATTATATTTAATTGATGCGTAATACTTAGCATTTTTTTTAGGCTTTTTCAATATAATACGCACTTATTAAATAAGAAAAAAAATTTATTAAATATTTTTGTTCTAATAAATATCAATCAATCAATCAAGATAATAAAGAGCTGAGTTTACAACTTGTAAATGCATTGAGTCATATCTCTAATTTCTTAAGAGTTATTGAATGGTATTTAACCATTTCATCTATTACTGTTTTCAAAAAATGACTCTTGTTTTTATCATTTAATTTAAGGGCAATATTTAGGACCTATGTAACCAAAAAAGTAGCACAAAATTAAATAAGAATTTTAATAATAGTAATTAATAGTTATGTAAAGTTTGTTTCGTTTTTTTTTTTATTTTAAAAAATTACAGAAGTTTTTAACTAGCATATAAAAAAGATATATCCTTCCTAAAATGTCAAATAAAAACAAAAACTGGAAAAGTACCTGATGAAATGTCAAAGACAAGGTTGTACCAAACAAACTATTTCTTTTTTGCATTGAGTTGTGAATAGTTGGCAAAAATAAGTTCATAATATGTTGTTGGGCAAAGTCTGGAAAAACTTGAAGCTCGTGCAATTTTTTCATTTTTATTTCTTCGTGCATTTTTTTATTTGTTATTATTGTTAGATATAAAACAACTTATCTTATACAGAACCAAAAAAAATTTAGATAAATTCACTAATGGTCTTGAATCAAAATAAATACATAGATTAAAAAGTATAATAGACGATCTATAAACAAGTTAGCACACATATTATAGCTATGTAATATGCCATACATATACGCATATACGTAGCAACACATATTATGGCATACATATACGTAATTAAATATAAATATATTACAAGTAATGAAACTATTTTGCAATAAAACGTATAACTCTAATTATTACTACTTAAAATAATATATCAAATATCATTTGAAAAATTTATTAAATTATAAATAGTAGTATATCATATATTATATTATATGTAATAATATTTCATTTCTTTACATTTCGAATGAGATGATATATTATCTCATGCAACACATTAAATAAATAAAAAAAATTATAAACTTCTGCTAATATTAAATAAAAGTTTTTTAATTTGTCAGCTTAATGTGGTGACGTCTTTACGGCACCACAATAGGCATAAGTTTTAATGGCTAATTATAAATTTATTTATAAATTTATAATTAGCATTAATTTTACATTAATTTTTGCGGCTATTTATTTAGAAAAATAAATATAGTCAAAATTAAGTTTCGAGTTAAAAAAAAAACACAGACCAGATATCATACCATTTTCATGAGAAATGTAAGGTCGATGCTTTTTTCCATTGAGCAAATTCAAGTTTTGCGTTTATTGTTAAAATCAAGACCCGAATTACTTAAATTTATTTAAACCGTTCAAGGCCGTTTTCTACAAGACGAAAAAATAGCGCGAAGCCAATTTTTTCGTCGATAAGCATGCGCATATTAAACATTTTTGGCGATAATGCTGATAATTTTTTTGGTACGACTGAATAAGCGCGAATTTCATAAGTGCGAACTGGCATGAGTGCGAATTGGCATAAGTGTGCCAAATAAATTTACAAACATTGGCATAAGTGCGAATAGACACAAGTGCGAATTGCCATAAGTGCGAAGCAGTTACAAAAACTAGCACAAGTGCGAACAGGCATAAGTGCAAATCGGCATAAGTGCGGATTGGCATATATGCGAACTGGCATAAATGCGAATCAGTTTTTTCAACGCTTCGCACTTACGAAAATAAAAATCGAATTCATTTCAACTTAATAAGCGAAATTCGCTTATTCGGAAAAAAATTCGCTTATGGCGAAAAGAATTTTGCCATAAGCGAAAACCAATCAAGTTTTGAATATTATATCACATGATATCAACAGTAAAAAAAAGCGAAAACATGTTGTTTTTAATGTAACAAAAAACAAAATTTGTATTTTGGCGTACGCCAGAAAGTTCATATAAAATTAATAAGAATGCGCGTTCTTATTAATTTTAAATGAACTCAGGGGCGGATCTAGGGTACGTCTAGTACTTCTGTAGACATACCCAAAAAAAAAAACCAAATCTAAAAAAAAAAAGTTAATATATTATTTCAATATTGCGTATAAAAATAATTTTTTTAGTTTAACCGTTAAGTGAATTAAATTTAAGATTTATTACCTTTATACAAACAGTTATAAAAAAAAAAAATTATTTTCTTGTTAAGAGTAATTAAAGTTGCTTTTTGTTTAGAGCGGTAAATAAAAAAATTATTTTTAACTGGAGGTTAAAGTAATAATAAATAAATAATATTTAGTTAGAAGAGTCAATGGACGTACCCAATATTATTTTGTTAAACGATAAAAAACTTTTAAAATTTTTTTTTTTTTTTTTTTTGTTATAAAAGCAAAATATTAATTTCTTTACTTATAACAATTTTTGGACGTACCCAAAGTAGTACACCCTAAGCAAAATCTTAGTCAAAATCCATTGTTTAGCTATAATCAGGAGGTGAAATATATTTTAATAGTTATTACATATCAAAATAAAACAATGGACGTACCTAACATTATTTTTTTCTCTCATTGAGCTTCTTATTTAGCTTAGTTTTAAGCAGCCGTGGCGCAGTGGTAGCACACTTGCCTCAGAAACGTAAGACCCCTGGTTCAAACCCCGCCTCTGGGCAAGTTTTGCGACATCGGTTGGGAAGGAGGCGTGAACTTCCTATTAAATGCTCTTCCGCGGTGCTCTGTGATAAGACCGTAAGGACTTCTTAGGGCACCTAAAAAATCAACATTAAAAAAAAAAAAAAAAAGTTTTCTATATTTGAATTTTAAGTAATCGATTTTATTTATGAAAAAACACTGTCGGACGTACCTTCCAACTTTCACCATGAAATATTTAAAGTTTATTGTGACATTTAAAATGTCTCGGCTCTTGTAAATATACGTAGTTCTTTTAATAAATTAAGTTTTTGCAGCATTTCCGTGTTTATGCTGGTGATAAAATTCTTCAAGATCAGCTTAGATATTATCAACAAAAAACGCTTCTTACTATCTAAGACACCATATTATCTGGCAAAAAAGTGTTTCAGAGAAGTTAATAACAAAATGTTTAAAAATTTTAAACGTTTTTCTGATGTAGCTTCTGACAATTAAAGTAGAGAGCAACTACTTTTAATTATATGGTTTGTTAGTTCGAAGTTCAATAAGAAAATTTATCAGTTTCTTCGATTGCACAAATGCACGGCTGTTTCATGCAATGTAAAATTGGGCATTACGTCACTTTTAGCAAAAACAATTTCCTCATAAAAAATTTTTTTAAAAATTTCGGCATATAAAGTATAAAAATTAAATAACTTTAAAGTAATGGGTTTTTTTTTTCTATAAACGCTTTTGTGTTCTAATAAAAAAAAAATGAAACATCTTTCTTTCCTTATTAAATAAATATTCTGATTAAATGGAATAAAAGTAAAAGTTGTAAAAATATTGCTAATGATTTGGGATCACTTCTGTTTTTTGCGTATTTTAAAGAAAACCTGTCTTGGGCCAATCAAGATTTAATATTTTAAGCTACATGCTATATGGTTGAAATTTTACATACTTATAAACGAATGTTTATTTTATTAGATTTTTGGTGAACATTGATAAAAAAAATTTTAAATTGGATTTTTTAGCTTTTATATTTTTGTTATTACTTGTTTTATATGAAAAACGTTATATTTTTGTTAAGTTCACCAAATTATTAAAATTAGAACCCTTTATGCACATGAAAATCAAAAAAAATTACTTTCTGTACTTCTAACTAAAACATCTTCAACCTTGGCAAAGTTTGTTGCTTTTAGCAACAAAATTTGTAGCTACATGCGTAAAATTTTTGTTTATATTTTAAAGCAATGACGTAACTTTAGATGCGTTATTTCCCAGTTCATTTTTTATTAAAACAGCTTTTTTAGCGAGACAAATTTTAGGGTATAAATAAAACAAACTTTGGCGGTTTTTTTCAGTCAAATCATAAAGAAAATTTTCATTCATAAATAAATGACAGCTAATACGAACCATCATAAATTGTTGGATGGGGCATCATTAGTTAAACCTTACTCCAGAAGAAACATGAAGCGCCAACATTTAACATAAGAAGTCAGTAAGATTATGAAGAGTATTTTCTATATGGAATGGAAATAAAACTAGTATCAATTGCATGCAAAGATCGTTTGCTACTTATAGAACATATATAAATATTTTAACTAAAAAAATATTATTTATGTCAATCCAAAACAAGTTATCAAATTATTTAAATTGCCTATATTGTTAAAAGCTAATTTTTTAGCTTTTATAATTCAAATTGTATATTAAATTGCCTATATTGCCTATATGTATATTTATAAAAAAAATGTGCTATTTTTCCACAGAAAAGTGTTAATATTGTAATATTGATCTAAGTGTCAGGAAATTATTCTACGACCGAAAGCAAAAATAATTCGAAACTCTTTTTGTTTGTTCAAAATCTTTAAAAAAAAGAAAGTATTTTGCGATTTTTTTATTTCGTCTATTGAAGTTCCTGAATCAGTTCGCATTCGGTGTAAATAATGTTAATATGTTTTATAATTGGTCTAACTATGTTTATATTACGTATTAGCCAACAGAAATAAAATTTTTTTGATTATTTTTGCTAAAAAGTACCATTAAAATTTCAAAATTCTGCCATGTTCGTGATTTTGCGCGTTCATATAAAAATCATAGCAGCCTTGGATTATTATATTGAATGATAAAATATAAAAAATTTAATCGGTGTTCAAATTCTTTTTACAGAACGTATTTATCTTTAATATTTCAAAAGTTATGAAAGTTTTAGTAACACCCCCTAAGTAAATATTTTCAAAAAATAACAAGAAGCCGTATGCCCATTCTGAAACAGTGTTACTAATAGGGATTATTTTATTTTTTGGTAAAAAATATAAAATAATCCCTACTAAAACGAAGAATAATGAATGAAAGGTTGCTGACCCATACCAAACCCTCAGTCGATGTAGCAGCACTCCACTGCGAGTCAGGCTATTTGTCAGTCGATGTATGTACTGAAGCCCCCAGCAGCAGGCTATTTGACGTTAGGTGAGTATGACATCATCATGCTCACCTAACTCAGCAGTATAAGATATATGTATATATATTTTAAAGAAATTTTAATTGTTTATTTTATTGTAAAACGACTAACTGAAAAAAAAAAAAAAGATTAAAAAAAAGAAAGGATTTTGTAATTCGATCCAAATTTTTTCGGTTTTAAAATTCGGTTTAAAAACTTTCGGCTCAAGAAAGGATTTTGTAATTCGATCCTGCAATGAAAGTATACTTTTCGGTTCTAAAATTTTCGGTTGTGAAATATTTCGGTGATATTTTCGAGGATAAATATTTTCGGCTCTATCATGTGACACGATTGCAACAGTCATAGACTTAATTTAGTTACTTGTGCCTCATACAATGTGCAATATGTCAAGTATCTTTTTAGCACTATGTCATGTTTTGCAATATGACAAGTATCTTTTTTGGCTCACTTTAATGAGGTATCATACTTTTTAAACTTGTACATACCAGGCAACAAATTTAAGAGGAGTATATTGAAAGTACCGTTCCATATTGAACATGTTGGGTGGAAAAAGTTTACTTTTTTTTTGAATAGTTTTCAAGAACTTTGTGCCAGTTCCTACAAAAATGATTTCAGAAGTTCAATT